TGACCCCAAGGATCCGGCTGATCCTGGGATTGTCGTGCACGTGGGCTGAGCTGCGGCATTTGCTCCCTCTCCTGAGGGCAGCTCAGCAGAGCAGGAGCCCCTGGCTCCCCCTTGCTGCTCCGTCCTCTCGTGGCCTTTGCGGGTTCCCCCGGCCGCCCCACAGGGCAGGACGGAGAGGCTCCCGGGGGCAGGCAGGGGCACAGGGGTGCCTGCGCCCTCGGGAGGGCAGGAAGGGGGCCCCCCCCCTGCCTCCAGCACCAGGAGCAGGGCTGGGACGCGGAGGGGACCCTCAGCAGAGCAGAGGAGCCGCCGGGACTGAGCGCTGCCGGGCTGGATGTTGGGGCTTGTCCGAGCTGGGGCTGGTTGCCCTCCCAGGGGGGCTTTGGAAGGACCCACGTTTTGTTTCTCAGCTGGTGCATAAGGCTGGAGCCCTCCTGCCCTTTTCCAGGGCTTGGAAATGCCACAACTTGCCCAGGGCCAAAGCTGTGTCCCCTGAGGAGCTGTTCTCCCCCTGCCCCCTCTGCTGCACAAACCCTTTGGGTACCTGCTGGGAGAGAGCTGGGCCGGGGCTGCCGTATGCGGAGTGGGGGGGAGGCTGGGTTTTAACTCAAAACTTGGACTTGGATCATTCCTGGTGTGGTCGATGAGGACTTTTTTTTAGTGTGAATGTGCAATTTTTTTCCCCTTGCTTGTTCTATCGTTGATTTAAAATAAAAAGACCATGTTCACGTCTGGCTCTCGTGTTTTAATTTCACTGCCAGCAGCTCCTGAGGAGGAGCAGAACCACCTCTCGGGCCTCTTCCTCACCTTAGAACAGGGCCTGGTGCTGAGAGAGGGACACGATTTATTTCACTATTATTTTCCCTACTTCACCCTCCTTTTAGGGTACCTGTACAGCCATGAGAGGGATCTGGGCAAGATGTTGCACTGCGGGAGAAGCTAGAGGCAGATTTTCATCACTGCAGCAACAGCATTTAGGGAGTCCTCAAGCCCCCACACCCAGGCTGAGGTAAGGCAGGTTAGGGGGCCAAAGCAGTAAAACATCATTAGTAAAACATCATTAAAATTAGTAAAACATCATTAATCCTCCTGGAGCTGAGGGTATCCAGGCAGGATACCCAGCATTTCAGTATGGGGAACACCGGGACTGTTTCGTTACACCTCCCATCCCTGCCCAGGTCTGGCTTTGAGAGCCAAGTCTGCATCAGCAGGATGAGCAGTTTCCTCACCAGGGTAGCAGGGAGCTGTCTGAGCCCCCTCCATCCTGGTAAGGGGCACGGATTTACACACGTCCACCACAGCTGCAGCTGGTGCAAGGTTTTACTTCTCAGATCCATGGCAGAGAGGCCGTGTCCAGGAGCAGGGACAGAGACAGCTCCACCCTTTCATGCTACTGCAGAGAGGTTTCTGCCAGAGCTTGGCCAGGTGCAGTCCTGAAAAGGCCCCTTCACTCTTTCACTCGCTGCTTTTTCCTTCTCTTCTTGCGGGCAGGCTCTGGCTGCACCCCCCTTCCTTGCTGTAGGCTCCTCTCAGCTGCTGCAGGCAGGGAGCTGAGGACAAGAGTGAACAGCCCAAGTTAAGCACCTGAGACCCTGCTCAGCCCAACACCACAGCCCCTGCAGCCTCTTTCTGTGCTCTCGAGCCCCCCACCCTCCTTTCTCCCTGCTGGGTGCCCCCCAAAGCCCCACAGTGCAGGCACCCTACAGCCATCCAAGCAGCCCCGAGCCCGGTGACACCCCGGCGTTCTGCACCATCACTCCCCTTGGCGGCACGCAGCGACGCTCCCCACCGCACGGCGCGGGGCCGAGCGCGCTCCACGGCTCCTGCTGCGCCGCAGCCGCGAGCCCAGGGCACCCCTCTGCTGCAGCACGGCCTGCCCCACCTCCTCCCCGAAGCAGGCCAACCTGAAAGCCGAGCCCTGCTCCTGCAGCACGGCCTGCACCACGTCCTCGTTCTCCTCCTGGTGCAGCGAGCAGGTGGAATA